GCTAGAGAATCCTCCAGGTAGTGGATATGACAGACTGAAACTGGCACGTTGTCCTGACACTGGTACCCTGCAGGGCCCAGGTGCGTCTTTTGGCCATAAATCTTCAGAAAGTTCGCACTGAGATCAAAAATCTGAGAGGAGTTCCGGAGGTCAAAATGATGATACACCGGGTTATCGGCAAAATTCACTCTTTACAAATCCTTTTGTGAATTAAAAAACAAGGGAAATATAAAAAGGCCTGCTGGCAGTCACGCTGAGATCAAAAATCTGAGAGGAGTTCCGGAGGTCAAAATGATGATACACCGGGTTATCGGCAAAATTCACTCTTTACAAATCCTTTTGTGTATTAAAAAACAAGGGAAATATAAAAAGGCCTGCTGGCAGTCACGCTCAGTTCTAAAACAGCTGTTGGCCTGGTTCACTTGGTAAAACGCTCACCTCTGAGTCAGAAGGTTGCGAGTTCTCAGCCCTGTGTTGGGACATTAAGCTTATGGTCTTTTCTGACATTGTAATGCAATACTCAGGAGCTCTGCAACATCAGAGGTGCCATCCTTTAAGATGACATGTTAAAACTGCGACCTCATCATACGGATGTTAAAGATTGCATGAAAGCATTTGAAACAAAAAGGGAGTCGTCCCCAATGTCTTGGCCAATGATCCTCCAGATTAACTGGCCTTTCACCTGAAGGCTGCTTGTAGGATTTTGCTGTGTGCAATATGGCTACCAACGTTTACCTACAAAAACAGTCATTACACGTGAGTGCGAAGTGTGTGCGATATAATAAATATTCTTGTATTTGATATATTCACATCGGGAGGATGTCTCTCAGCGCTTCATAGGATTTTTACTGTAAAATGTAGTGACTGTGTGTTTTGTAGGCGGCAGCCAATTTTCAGACAATGTCGGCTAATTGGCAAGAATCATAAAAGCTAGAGAATCCTCCAGGTAGTGGATATGACAGACTGAAACTGGCACGTTGTCCTGACACTGGTACCCTGCAGGGCCCAGGTGCGTCTTTTGGCCATAAATCTTCAGAAAGTTCGCACTGAGATCAAAAATCTGAGAGGAGTTCCGGAGGTCAAAATGATGATACACCGGGTTATCGGCAAAATTCACTCTTTACAAATCCTTTTGTGAATTGTACAAATAAAGTAAGAAAGTGCATTGAATTACTTTGCACCCAACAGCAATTTGCAATTTGCACTTATACAGCACCTTTCACGCGAGCGTAAAAAGTGTCAAAGCACTTTACAATGATGGATTAGAAGCCTGCGCTGGGAGGGATATGGAGGCAGGAGACAAGGTGACCAAAGACACTGTCAAAAAGATAGTTCTTTAACATGCTATTCCTGTTTTATTTCATGTCATGTTCAGAGAATTATTTGTGAGTGTTAAGGTGAAGGATGACAGTGTTTTTGAATGTGAATTCATTTTCTGTATCCAGGTCAGGCTTAAGAATTCCAGGGCGCAGGGGTTTGTATGTGCCTCAGTGCTATGCAGAACTCTGTGTTGAGTTAGCTGATAGTGTGAACCCTCTCAGCAGTTGGCAGAGTTAACATTTGAATCCCTGCAGTTGTGGATGAGAGTCAAGCTCAAAACCCAGACAGTGAAAGAGCAACGTTCTCACCAGCAGTACCAGACAGCCCACTCAAAATACCTTCATAGAATTCTCCACGGCTCATACACAATCTCTTGTGCCACTAAACACTGTGTGAAGAATTCTTCCAGCTGTAATATCAGGTACTCTCAGAAACAAGAATGATTTTACCCATCGATGCTGTAACAATATTTCAGGTTAGCAACATTTACAACTGCACCCAGATACATTTAAGGGCTGTTTGAGACATCCTCACAATATGAAAAGTGATATAGGAATCTGACGTGTATTGTACATCACTCAGAATTGAAGTGACAGAACTCAAAGATTCAAGGGAAAGAAAAAACATTAAGAGAAATAATAATATTATGTATAATAATAAATTCTTACATTTAATATAGTGCCTGCCTTTCATGTCAGGAGGTCATGTCAAAATGTTTTGCTAAATTTGCTATAAAGTGTAGTGATTGTGTACTTGAACACTGCAACTGCCAGGAAAAGCACCCAAGTTGTGAAGTACATTTTGTTAGATTTCGACTCTGAGGCGATCTCAGGTTAGAGCCAAAATATTGTGAATGAACTACTTGCCTCTCTTCAGGCTTTTTTTAAATAAAACTCCATAGTTGTGGGTAATCTCTGTAAACTAAAGCGTTGCTGTTTCATATAAATTTTCAGGTGGTTCATTGTTTAGTACCCCATCCTTTCACGAGATCACAAGATTGGTTGAAGAAGGTCCTACGACTCATTTGATCTCATCCTTCCAGGACACTCCCTTGCGCACAAAATATACAGTCAATTCACTTTACAGTGAATTGACTGTATTCTGTATATTCTGTGAAGCGGTTTGAGACGTCTACAATGACGTGAAAGGTGCTACATCAATGCAAGGATTATTACTACTATCCTCCCAACAAGCTGTGCCAGTTGTTAGTTACCCACTGGGTGAAGAAAAAATATTCAGCAACAACTTGCATTTATATATCACCCTTCACACAGATGGGACCTCAGTTTTCACGCATCGCTCAAAGTACAGCACTTCCCAGCACTGTACTGGAGTGTCAGACCTACGGTGTGTGTTCACAGTCCCAGCGTGGGGCTTGAATCCACAACCTTCACTAACTGAGCCAGGCTGACACCTGGAACTGGATCGGGTGAGATTCTCTCTTGCTATTAAATGAAGCAAATTTCACAATGTGCACATGGAACTTTCCCGTGATCAGCTCAGATCAGAGAATTTCTCTCTGATGCACGATGTTGGAAAGTGTTCCATTTACAAACATTTCCATTTTGTTTAAGAGACATAGGGATTTATCTGAAAAAATATACACAGTACTCAGTGGTTCAATTTGTCTTTTCCAATTGTTATAACGCATGTGCACTGTTCAGATGGCTGCAGCTTATTCCCATTACTCACAGTGCCGAGATTTACTGTACCAAAGATGGGAGAGGATTCATCATTTCTGTAGTCAAATCCATCATTGGACTCCTGGGTGTGCAAGTGTACAGTAAGTTACCACAGAGGGGGAGGTCTGCAGATCAGTGTTTACACTGCAGTGGAATCCTCTTCATCTTGAATTTGATGTGGACTGTTAATTGACTCTTTCAGCCTGGAGTCAAGATAATCCTTTGAAGATTTTGTCCTAAGTAACAAGTCATAAGCAGAGTGGAGCAGTCCACTGGTGACCCACAATGTGTTGTTCGGTGCTCTGTCTACACAATTCATTTATCATGCTTCGTACACATGTGAGCCTAAGCACACAATGACACACATTCTCAAGAAACCTGAAAAACTGGATCAAATTCTTGGAAAGCCTTTGTTCATTCAAAGTTTTTCGGAAGCACTCCAAGAGCTGAGTCTGTTGAATGCATTTAACAGACGCTTTTAACACGTGCGTGTGCTATGGATGAAGCAGCAAAGCGAGATAGAGAAAACATTCTCAATATAACTTCATTTTGCATGCTCGAGTTACACCAAGAGCTACTGAAATCCAGGTTTAGGAATTAAGTGCAAAAGCCTTGGGGGCCTTCTAAACTTTACAAAATATACAAAAAAGTGACCAACCCATGAAGTGACATGGTGTGGGGTAAACTGGTATCCAGGACACCAATGCTTTCTTTATTTAGGTTCAGAGGATCAGGACATGAGGGCAGGAAAGCCTCTGAGTGTTTCATTGAAGGAGATTGGCTTGTCTTCTTCAACATCATTTTAACTCCGTTTCTCATTCCTCCTTTACTCTGTATGAATCACTTGAATTGATCACCTTTTCCTTCTCTTGTGCACTCCCTCCCACAAACCGGTTCAATTCACCGACACTGGGGACTCTACAGTCTGTGTAAAACGGGGAAGAAGCGCTGATTCAAGCCTCCTCAAACTATCCTGCTCAAATTTGGGGTCAGGGTTTTGAAAACTGCTGCAATCCGAAATAAAAGAGGCCAGAGAGTAAAACGAGCTACAGCATCGCAGTTTCACTTGGTATATGTGTTGCTGTGATGCTGTCAAGCACCGGTGCATGTAGCCTATATAACAGTCCTTTGCAGTAAGTAACCCGCTTTCTTGCGCTTACATTTGCTGCTGCGAACTAGCATTTAGCAAGCACTGAGGTAAAAGAGAAATATAGGTTCATTACATCTGTACGCACAACTCCAGCCTACACACATTCCATCTAAACCCATGGTCAAAGTGAAACCTGCTGTGCAGTCCAATGCATGATATAGTATGACACTATATTCCATGACAATTGATTAAAAAAAAATTCCTTATACATCAATATTTATCAACTGCGAATAAACGTACAGATTTAAGCAACAAGCCTACGTTTTCATCACCCTCAGAACAAACTCTTTGATTTGATAACAATAACTTAGACAAGATTCAACTTCAGTCTTCAAAGAGTTAAATAGTTCTTTTTAAAAACACACAGACACACACACATACCAGATCTATTTCCTGTGTGACTGTAATTGGAAACACATAAAGCTGTAACTATTACCTTGCATTTGTATTAGGCTCTTATGGTGAAGTAGATTGCACGAGATCTTGTACAAGCGATAACATTCATGGATTAAGATGCTTTTTTTAAAAAAAAAGAGACAGATGCTCGTGTGGTAACTTTCTGGCTGATATTAAAACGATTTCCCCCCCCAACCCAAAAAAAAATAACGTTGAATGTGCACATGCAGACCTCTCTCACAGCCAAATGATGATAAAGGGATGTTATTTGTTAAAATATAGTTTAACAGTGCAGATATGGAACTGCAGCTGTTAGAGGAGAGAGGGCAAAGTTCTGCCTCTGCTCACTTGCCTGCAGTTTTAATAAGTTTATTTCAGCCCTGGAGTTACTTTAAAGTTTGCTGACTTTCTCACTGGGAGAGTGGTGAAACCCACTGACTGAAACTCCTCACCTCCTCCTGAACTCTTAAGACTCCCCCTCAGCTGAATCCAGGCTGTTCCTCACTGAAAGTGAAGTGTTTTAACAGCAAAGAGAATCTGACCCTCACTTCACAGCTCGAAACCTGAGAGACAGAGAGAGAGAGAGAGAGAGAGAGAGAAATAATCCAATGCACCCAAACCCTTCCTGTCATTAATGCTCATGTATCTCATGGACATACAGTACTCGTTATCTTTCAGTCAGAGAAGAGCAACACCGACAGGAGATGAGAGCTTCGGACACAGTAAAATGAGCAGCACTAACATTTCATTGCTAACACTGCAGCAATTCTCCAACCTCCCCCCAACCCCCCCCCCAACACCCCCCAACCCACCCCCACCTCTCAATTTAAAAAAAAAACCAGACAGATTAAATGTTTTTGCTGTACCTGAAACCTGCTGAGGTGGTGGTGGTGTTTTTTTTTTTGGGTGGTGGTGGGGGTGATGGTGATGGCTTTTCAAACAAGATCTTCTTGAAAAAGGTTCTGCTCTCCACGTTCAATGCACAGACAGACACACTACAGACACACACTCGCACACTGCAGGACCACCAGGTTTCCCAGTGTTCCAGCCCTCTCCCTCTCTCACCCCCACTCAGATGTGATGACACGCACTTAAACCCCAACCATCTGCTGGAACACGTCCTCAGCCACTCAGCTCAGGGGGTGTGGAGTGCCCTCCCTGCCCTCCCTCCCCTGCCCTGCCCTGCCTGCCCTGCCCTGCCCTCCCTGCCTCTCCACCCAGTCCAATCACTGGAGAAGGGTGGCTCCTAAAAGCAGGAGGTTGTCCGGGACAGAGGACATACAAACCAGTTCCCTAAAACCTCTCGGGAGCACCAGTAACCTGAGAGCAACGTGAAGGAGGAGACTGGTGCAAACCTGGGGAAGGGGTCCTGGTTGGAGAGTGGGTGGGAGTGGGTGGGGGGGAAGGGGAGAGGGGGGGGAGAAGAAGAAGTTATTTTCCCAATCGTTCGTTTATGTTGTTTCTTGCAACTCCCCCGAAGGAGTTAACCCCATCCCCCTCGTCCTGCTCCGGGATCCTCAATGTCGGGTGAACAGAAGCACATCAGAGTCCCACTTGTAACATTCAGAAGACGTTCGTGGAGAACAGTTTCCCTTCGCAGCTCCAGAGGTGAAGGCAGATCCGATCTGATCTGCTGATAAAACTCTTCCAACAGAGCGGTGGCTGTGCAGAGCTGCCCCAGCCCAGGACCCCCAGACACCCTGCAGCACTTTTGCTTTCCCAGATTACCTTATATAACAAGTCAAGCCCCACTTCTGGAGTCCAAGGCTGCACACCCGCTCAGATGCACCCCTACTTAATCATTAATGAACCCCCCCCCACTGAATACAGCTCCTGTACAAGTCCCCACATTTCTTGGCATCTCAGCAACACAGTGCCTTCCCAGCCACCTATTAATCTTGGGACCACCCTCAGCCCTACTCTGTACGTTGCTGATACAACAACAACAAATTACATTTCATGTATGCACCCCCATATCTTTAATGCAGATTTGATTCTGCATTTTCTGGCCCCTTTTCTCTGGAACTCCGCGCCTTCAAAACCTTTTCGACCACGCTATCGGTCATCTTCCTCCCTCTCCTTCAGCACCCTTTCTACTCATCTCCAGCTCAACAATCAGTTTTTGTGTGAAGTGCTTTGAGACATCCTTCCCATGTGAAAAGCACTATATAAATATAAATTGCTGCTGTTGCTCTTAATGCTATGCTAATTCACAGTTATTGGTTGACGTTTCCCGGGTTAGTGGCACATTACAGCATTAACCACTGCAGCTATACTGGAGCCAGAATGGATGTAGAAGTCAAAAGGTATTTTTTTTACAGGCGAGGGAAGAAAACATAAATATTTGTTCCCATAAGTGAATCTTGTATGTTGCAAGCCATTTTACCAGTCCAGCAATGCTCCTGGAGTTAGGAATGGCTGTTTATGTACCCCATTAAATAAACCTGGTCCCCTCTGTTAGTTCACCTTATGTATGTTTTGAGTCCATGCTGACTTTTCTTTGTACGCTTTGTTTTAATTACTTGGAGCTAATACAGTCTAGGCTGGCACTCCAAAGCAGTCTTTCGGCTGAGACGCTTGTCAGTGGCAGAGAACAACGGCAAGCCAGGGGGAGAGAGAGGTGACCATAGGTACCATCGAAGAGGAAGGTCTTCAGGCGTGACCTGAAGATGGGGATGGAAGGGACAAGGCGGAGGGATAGGAAAAAGTGTTCTAGAGACATTAAAGCCAAGTTCCCACCTGCCTGTTCAGGTTGATGATAAAGATCCCATGGCACTATCTGAAAAGAAAAGGATGTTTCTCCGGGTGTCCTGGCCAACGATTCCCAAAATAAAATTGGTCATTCACTTCATGGCTGTTTGTGGGACATTGCTATGCCTTGCTGTGTCGTCTACAAAATTATGCAATCACTATATTTTAAAGTAAATCCTGTTAAGTGCTTTGAGACATTTTACCGAACAAGCAGATGGGACCTCGGTTTAACGTCGTATGAAGGATGGCACCTGTAACAATGGAGCAGAGCCGCAGCATTGAAATTAAATGGAGGCTGAGTTTCAAAGTCCCAATGTGGGGCTTGAAACCACAACCTTCTGATTCAGAGCCAAAAGTGCTGCCAACTGAGCCAGGCTGACATCAAGTAGCACAGCTAGACGCAGATTTCACTGAAATCCTTGCAGGTTAAGTTACATTTTCCGTAGATGTAGACGATCCCTATCTAGGCTTTGGATTTCATTAGACTGGCTGCATTACGCCCATCTGCAATACCTGCCACTTTAAAAATACAAAGAATCACTTGTAAAGACTGAGACCCTGGCACTGACCAGCTCACACTCCCGTCACCTGTTCTTTCTCTCTCTCCCTCTCACACACTCACACACAAATACACACACACACACAGATACAAGCTCCCCCCCACCCACCACCAAAACATTGATATCTGAACTGGTCAGCCACCTGTAACAAAGTCGCAAATCTAATCTTCCTTCACACACAACCCTCCCTCCATCCTGTTCAGCTGCCCATAGGGTGACTCTTGATGGGGGAGGAGGGCGCAGGGGAGGTGGTATGTGAAGCTTGTAGACAGCGATATCAGCAGCAACTTGATGACGAGGAAGTTGGGCACAACAATAATCCTCACATTAGATACAACACATTTCACGTCTCAAGGACATCTCAAAGCACAGGATTTATTCTAAAGTGTGTATTGTGCAGGTGAACCTGGCAATAATAACAAATTACATTTGTATAACGCCTTTCACATCGGGAGAAACCAATCTAGCAATCAATTTGCACAGAGTGAATATCCCACAAACAGCCATGAAGTGAATGATCAATTTTAACTGAGGAATTGTTGGCTAGGACACCGAGAAATAAAACCTTTCTCTTTTTGAGTAGTGCAATGGCATCTTTAACATCCACCTGAACAGGCAGATGAGATCTTGGTTTAAAGACTTATGCGAAAAACAGCATTTCCAAAGGTGCAGAGTTCTCCAGTGCTGAACTGGAAAATCAGCCTGGACTGCAAGCTCAGGACTAGATGTGCAGCTTAAGACCACAATCTTGTGGCCAAGTGACATTTTACAGGTAGCCTCAATATCTCTGGCCAAGGAAGAGAAACAGAAATCAACCAGGGATCCAGAGCAGAAGGATTCAGGTACTGAATTCCTGTGGACTGAAAAGATTCCTTCTGAAGGAATCCCATTAAGAAACACGGCAATTATACCTCACGATGCGAGTTTAAGTGTGTGAAAAATAATCCACTGCAATAAGAAATGTGTGGAGAAATCTTTTGATGGAGGACATGGAGGGAGACAAGGCAATACTTGGAGTCCTGTAGCTCAGTGGTTAGAGCACTCGCTTTGCAAGTGAGAGACCTGAGTTCAATTCCAGGCAGGGCGAAACCTTGGGCAAGTTTCCTTACTCCACACAGAGCCTAATAATAATCCCTCCAAAAAAAAACAACAATAAAATTGGTCATTTTCAATCCACGACTGTTTGTGGGACGTTGTTGTGCGCAATTGGCTGCCGCGTTCGCCCACAAATATACAGTCAATTCACTTTACAGTCTATTCTGTGAAGTGCTTTGGGACGTCTAGAAGACGTGAAAAGCGCTATATCAAATGCAAGGATTATTATTATTATTATCGATATTTATTAATAGTGAACCAATTATACAGTTATTTGGGAGCCCCACATTATTTTGAGCCCGGAGAACGTGTTGCCTGGAGCAGCACACCTTGTGCTCTACAACAAGTGAAAAGGTTTCGCTCCAATTTAAAGTCCTCAATTTTTTGGGGGGTGTCAGCTGGGTGTCTTGACACATGCGAAAACCCATCAGCATGCTTAAGAATATCCAAACCAAACTGAGAATTCCATTTCAGTGGAGCCTACACCCCACCCTCCCCATCCCCAGGAGGATAGAAAGTCCACAAAATCATCTGAAGTCCTCAGGAATCTGCCAGGTGTCCAACTTGTCATTGCTGTAGATCCCAAGCAGTGATTAGCTTAGCCTCAGATGAAAGGGAGCTATGCAAGTGAGCCTGAGCTATCGTCTAACCACACGCCGCCTGTCTTAAACCTGGTGCTGTGGTTCTCACTGGCACAAGAAGCCGGTGGCAGCAATCAGCAATCAAAAGCAGAAATGTTCTTTCTTAGCAGCAGATGGGCAGCAGCTGCAGCACCAGCTGACACTTCAACTATGTAACTGGATCAGAACTTTCAAATGTCGAAAGTTCCACCGAACACGGTACATAAAAGTTGTGGCTTGAAAGAATCCTGCTCCTCCTTTTTAATATAAATAGGAAATTACTGGTCGGTTTCACTTTAAACCCGTCTGCTTATTTAAATTAATAGTTCCTCGAGTCACAGGTTATTTGAAGCTCGACATTCAACACACCCAATATGCGGATTAGAATCAGGCTTCGGCATTTATTGTATTACCACAAACGTGTTGTCTTACCCAAGCACGACGAGAAAAAAAAACTGCAGTGGCCTTATGTCAGTGCAAAATGCTAGCTATTTCACCTAAGGATTTGCCGTTCCTTTAAGTGCTGTTT